GGAACATATATTAATTATTATTACTAAAATACGTAGTCCCCTGGATTATCCAAGATTTAGTTAAATTTTTATTGAAAATTTGCATTTCCAACTCAACTAAATTTAGCTATGTGTTGTGGGGAATGATAGAGCTATTGATTGATGTCTATTGAAAGGACATATGATAAAAATCTTGGAAATCTGTTTAAATTCTGTTTAAATATGTTTGAAAATTCTCCAGGTAAGAATATCTTAACATTTATTAACTTCTTTCTTGGTTTTAGGAAAGATATGTAGCAAGCTTGATGCCTTTGCAGAAAAGTATTTCTCCATGGAAGGTAGGAATATATTTAAGTAAATTCCTATTTGAGTCCTCTAACTGTAATTACTTAAATATATCAATTTCTAATATTTAAATGTAGCATATGCCCTTTTCTAGAGTCCACCTCAATTAAGACAGTTCCTTCCAGAAGAATTTATGAAAACACTAGAGAAAACAGGACCTCAGCTAACCTCTAGAATAAAAGGCGATTGGATTGGACTTTACCGGTTAGTTCCTTTTTCACCCATATGTAGTGTGATATTAAAAATATAATAGAAGACTAGATTTAAATTTTGATTTTTAAAAAAATTCCATTGTTTGACATGGTTCTACATATGTAGGCCATATTGAGGTGAAGAAATAAGTCATAATCAAACTTAGCTATCTTAAATTTTTTTCTTATAGGCATTTTCTAAAGTCTCCAAATTTTGATGGCTGGTTCAAGACTCGGCGGAAGGAAATGACCCAAAAATTGGAGGCACTGCATCTAGAAGCGCTTTGTAACGAGGTTAGACAATAGTGTTTGGGGCTGGCCCTATAGCCTAGGTTACAGGAAGCAGAATCCCACATGACTGGCCGGGGTCTCGAAAGGCATGCTGGGAGGGTGCACATTTGTGCACTAAATCCTGACAGAATGGAGAAATGGAGTAGAAGGGATTGCATCATGACATGCCCATTAGTGGGTGCTTTCTGCCTCCCCATCCTTTTCATTCACTCTGTCAAGTGTACACATCCTCTGACACTTACAAAAAATGGAGAGAGGCCAGCAGATGACCTGGTGGTTCAGGCACTAGATGCCCACATAGCCGACCTGGGTTTGAGCGCCAGATCTGGCGGCTTCAAAATCACACCAGGCATGTCTACTTGCCTGTCTAAAATCCCAAGAGAAGAATAGAGGAAAGGGAATTGCAGTGTGGCCATCCCCACTGGAGGGGGTGATTTCTCACTTTCCCTCACTCAGTCTCTCTCCAGCAAGTGTACATACCCTATGGCAAAAAACAAACAAACAAACAAAAAAACCCAGAGGGACCAGCAGGTGGCATGGTGGTTAAGGCGCTGGGAACTCCCACATGGCTGACCAGGGTTCAAGTCCTGAAACTGGTGGCTTGCTTTCTCACTTCCTCTATCTCACTCTCACCCGTCAAATTAAAAAATAAATGAATGAATAAAATTAAAAAAAAAATTATAAAAAAACCCAGCATGATTAACACCTGTTCCAAATAAAAATATTGTTAAGCATTTAAAGGTGATGTGCATATACATTTCTCTATAAACAGTTATAATAACTAACTTTTCTAGATCATGTACTGAGTGCCAAGGACCACGTAGGTGCTTTAAATGCACAATCTCTCTTTTGTTCTTTTTTTGTTTTTTGCTATAGGGTGTATGTGCTCACCAGAGAGAGAGAGAAAGGAAAAGTGAGAATTCATCCCCTAGGGAGATGGCCAAGCTGCAATCCCTTCTCCTCCATTCTCCTCTTGGGATTTTGGGCACACACACACACACACACACACATGTCCAGCATGTTTCTCAAGCAACTTGGGTCCAGGACTCAAACCGCTTAGTGGGCCATGTGGGAGCCAGTCACCTTAACCACCATACCATGTAGCCGTCCCCATAATTAATCTCTTTAAATGATCACAATAATTCAGTGAGGTACAGGTGCTGTGATCTAAATACACCTGCAGCTTAGAAGTTAAGTGTACCCACCCAAATCCTATCACTGCTAGTATCCAAGCCAGCAGTGTGCTGCAGCCATGTGCATTTGCTCACAAGAGCTGATTGTGCACATCTTTTCCGTACTCCAGATTCAGTGACCTCAGGTTGGTAGCTTGAAATCGCCTACAGTGGGAGTGTTATACCATAGAAATTGACAAATGCCACAAACCAGAGCCTTTTTCTGGCAGACTAGTTGTCAAATATTAACCAGCATATCACTAGATGAATTGGGATTCAAATTCAAGCAGTCTAGCTTCAGATTTTTTCCACTTTGGCTTGTTCACCCTTTCTAGTTGGTATTAACAATTATGTCAGGTGTTTGACTGATTTTTCATGTTCTGTCATTTATCTCAGGCTATTTTAACTTAAACTGCTTGTGAACATATAAAGAATAATCTTATTTTCATATATATTTAGCTTGAAATGTGGAGTTGGGCTAGCCTTGGTATTAACTTTCTAATGGTAAACTCCCAAGGACTGTGACTTTAAGGAGTATGATGACAGCAACCACAGCATAATCACAGGAAGAGCTTGTTGGCAGATGCAAAGTTCACATTCAATAATGTATTCATGCTCAGTTATCTTGATTCATTAGCTTACTTTCCTTTTTTTTAATAAAGATTTTTGCCATAGGGCCCATGTGCTTGCTAAAGAGACAGAGAGAGATGGAGGGATAGAAAGCAAGAAATCACTTCCTAGGGGGAATGGCCATGCCACAATCCTTTCTTTTTTCTTTTTTCTTTTTTTTGGAGAGATTTTCACTATAGGGTGCGTGCGCTCGCCAGACAGAGAGACAGAGAGACAGAAAGCGAGAAATCACCCCCCAGGGGGATGGCCACGCCACAATCCCTTCTCCTCCATTCTCCTCTCGGGATCTTGGGCATGCACGCACATGTGCCCAACGTGAGTTTTAAGCCACTGGGTCTGGGACGCAAACCGTGGTCTACTACGTGGGAGTCCAGCGACATAGCCATTATGCTAACTGCTGTTTCCCAACCACAATCCTTTCTTATCCATTCTTCCCAGGATTTTGGATACACATACACACACACACACACACACACACACACACACACACGATGTGAGGTTTTTTTGTTTTCTTTATAGGCTAGAAAGTTGGGGGGGTTTTATAGAATTATTTTATTCTATTCATTATTTATTTATTTTAATTTGACCAGAGAGGGACAGAACGAGAGCAAGAGAGAGAGAGAAATCGAGAAAGCAAGCCACCAAGTCTTGAATTCTGGTTGGCCATGTGGGAGTCCAGCGCTCTTAACCACCATGCTACCTACTGGCCCACCTGTGTGAGTTTTAAGTCACTGGGTCCAGGACTCAATCTGTGGTCGACTCTGTGAAAGTCCAGCAACATTACATTACGCCATCTGCTGGCCTCAGCTAACATTCCTTTTCAATTTCAACTAGTGGGAGTAGCATTTAGTATTGTAATTTGAGTTGAAATTTTTGTTTTTCTTGCTTGATCTTAAAGCACTACCTCAGAAAAGAATTTTCTGTTGTTGTTTTTTTTTTTTAAAGAATTATGTAATTTTTTTTTGAGAGATTTTTGCTGTAGGGTGTGTTCACTCACCAGAGACAAAAAATGAGAAATCCTTCCCTGGGGTGATGGCCACACTGTAATCCTGTCTCTTCCATTCTCTTCTCAGGATTTTGGGCATGCATGAACATGTGCCTGGTGTATTTCAAACTGCTGGGTCTGGGACTTGAACCATAATCGCCTATGTGGGAGTCCCGTGATGTAATCATTACACCATCTGCTGGCCCCCAATAATTATTTAATTTTATTTATTATTATTATTTTAAAATTTGACCAAACAGGAACAGGACACCAGGGAGTAAGAGAACAAGCCACCAGGTCCAGGACTCAAAGTATAGTAGGCCATGTGGGAGTCCAACACCTAACCACCATACCGCCTTCCAGCCCTAGAAAACAATACATTTTATTTTATTGACAAATTGACAACTGTTCTAGCTAATGTTAAAAATAATCTAATTAACAGTTATCAATATCAATAGAATTATTCTTGCACTGAAATGCTATATCTTGTTTAAATACTTATTCCTTTCAGTCTTGTTCTTCCTTCCCAGTAGTCTTGCCTATTGAAATAGTTAAGAATATTATTTTGAGTACTGGCTGATTTGGGATGTCCTTATTGTTCTAGGACTTACTTCTCTGGATCCAGAAACACACAGAGGTAGAAACTGTAGACCTTGTATTGAAGCTGAAAAATAAGTTGGTATGTAGCCAAAGCAGCCAAAGATGAAATCTACTCTTCTGAGAAGATATTTTCCTCATATTTGAGCTGATAGTTCATGATGTATCATAGAAGTATCTTTTTGAAATGAGAGGATTAAGATTGCCTGATTGATGATAGAACTGACTGAAAATACTTGGTCACTCAAGTAGGCCATAATGATGGCATACTATCCTGAAGTTTATGTGGACTCTAATGAGCTGAACATTGTCACTTATGTTTAATACTACATAATGTGCCTAAATTCTATCTATTAATTTACATAAAAGCCTTTTATGGAGCTCAGCAATGTATTATTTAAATGGCATCATCTTTGCTTTTTTAATTTCTGTAAGTTCTAGTTTAACACCAGGTTTCCAAAGTGTTAAACCATTAAAGCTGTTTATTTAGAGAATATAATATATTGTCTACGGCCATACCACTCTGAACGCACTGGATCTCGTCTGGTCTCGGAAGCTAAGCAGGGTCAGGCCTGGTTAGTACTTGGATGGGAGAGAGTATAATGTATTAATACAGATCCAGAGTATAAGTTAAATGCTCACGCATGTTCTTTATGTAGTTACAGGCCGATCGAGAGCGTCTACCTGTGAAAGCTGACACTATGGAAAAGTTACGGACACACATAGATGCAATTATCTTAGCATTGCCAGAGGACCTGCAAGGCATACTGCTCAAAACAGGCATGACATGATACTTGCCAGAATTTTCCAGCCAAAAAGGATCATGCACCACGAGCTTACTGACATCACAGCCAGACACACAGAAGATATCTCTTGATGGTAGTGGAGTGGAAAATAGCAGTGAATGCTAGATACAGGGTGGAAAGACTGTATTGTATAACCAGACCTTTTTAGTGCATTATTTTTAAAAATGGATATCTGTGGTGGTTCCACTTTCATACTGAAACACCGAAAGGCATTTCTATATTTTTAATCATGTTTTCTAAAGTGCTCTTATGAGAGACCTGTGGGGCCATCAGTATACATGATTCCAAACTGCAGTGCTGGCATTGCAGATATTTTTTTAAATTGGTGCTGCTTTGCCCAATCATGTTAAAACTCAGGGTACTGGATATAAAAATAACTTTCACACTGGCTGTCTTCTTATGAAGGAAGAGACTGAACTGTCCAACTATAGATGCTTATGCAGTGCCTTCTGTTGTCCTGTATGTTTCACAAAGTCCAACTGCTAGTCTTGAAGCTTTTTTGTAGCTTGATTATGATATGTGATTTTACAAGGCGTTCTATAATCATTGCTTAAAAATGTTTCCTGCTGCCTACTGTGTTTATTAATGGGTATGGTGTTTTTTAGATTTTTTTGTAATTTATTGTCATACAGATTTTCATTTCATTTTCTTTACCATTTTCAATATTTAATCTTGTCAGTTTCTCTAATGACAAGGCATCTAGTATTAATTATGGAAGTGTTTATTTTCTCTCAGCCTTTACTAACTGAAGCTGTTTAATTAGCTTGGATGTTTTTCAAAGGCGCTCTAATTATAAACCTCATAATCAGCTGTTTTTTAATATGAACTATTCTGATTTCAAAGGCATTCATAAGCCTTTTATGTGGCAGGTATATGAGTGATTATAAGATTGATTTCCACCATTATTTTTGAGGTCATTTTTTCCAGAACACTTTCCCTGCTGTTTGTTGTTTAATGTGGCAACTTTTGCCTGAATCACTGTTATACCCAGTTTTTGTTGTTGTTTTGAGTGTTTCTGTTTTGTTTAAACTATACTACCTTGCCAAAAATAGAAGGATGTGATTTAGTAAAGTTGTTTGGTTTGTGTTGAATAGGACTGTTCCACAGAAGCCACTATTTAAAAGTTCCACCTGACAGCACATATGTAAATAGCTGTATCTTGAATTACTCTCTGAATAACCAAATTTAGTTGTATTTGTAAAAGAAATGGCTTCAGAAGCTATCTCTTGTTCTTATTATATCTTGATGTAACTCTGAAGGGCATTTCCTACTCAAGAAACGTTCTTGTGTTTGCAACTGTGTTCTTATACCCAAATGTGCTCTTTTCTCATGGATACAGTCTCTTGAAGCATACCTCAAAGTCACAGAAAGAAAATGGCATTTGGAAGATATCATTTGCCTTGATCATATGAGTTATTTTGTGAAACAGTTGACCTGTCAGGAAAGGGACAACTACTTTTATATGCGAAAGTATTTCATAACTTTCTAGGAAACCTTATTTAGGTATAAATAATCATCTTATTATTTTCCAGAAAGGTGTATTTTAATAATCTTACAATTTATATACAGTTTGTGACCAGAATTTGAAAGTCATTAGTGTCATATCAAGGATCTTTTAAATTATACCACTACAGGATGTATCATTTCAAGTTTATTTTGCACAGCTAAAGAGTAGCAAAAGATGCCAGTTAGCATGATAATGGTGTCTTTGTATTTACTGTATTTAACTAAATCCTAACACATGTTGAAAACCATATCTTACTTACCCAGTTTATCTCTTAATTTCAAATTATGTACTCGTAAAAATAACTTAAAGTCATATTGGGAACCTGAGAAAGACCGACTGGTGATTTAATGTTTTGGTATGATTTTTTTTTTCTTAAAAAGTCTTTCTTAATATTGAAACCCTGCCATTTAAAGTTTTATCTCCACCAGCACAGAAGGAATCACTGTTTTAAGAGTGTTGTGTAATGCCTAGTGCCTTCTATTTACAGTGGGAAGAATTTGTGAAGGCATTTATGGTCATTACTGAGAAATGAATTAAAGGCCTTGGATTTTAAAGCACTTGGATATCTTGTGTTGTTTCTGAGTGGGGATGGAATACTTGGAAAAAGTGCCTAGTTAAAAACACCTGTGGGGGCCAGCAGGCGACATAGTGGTTAAGGCACTGAACTCCCACATGCTGACTGTGGTTGGAGTTGGGCCCAGTGGCTTGAAACTCATGTTAAGCAAGTCTGTGTGCCTTCCTAAAATATCAAGAAGAGAATGGAGAAGGGATTGTGTAGCGTGGCCATTCCCCCAGGAAGTAAGATTTCTCTCTTTCTCTGGCCAGCAAGCACACATACCCTATAGCAAAAATCTCTTCAAAAAAATAAGAAAAAAGGAAATGAGCTTCATTTTATATCCTGACAGTTTTTTGTTCTTTAAATGATATTCAGGGACCAGCAGATGACGTAATGATTACATCGATGGACCACGTGAGATACAGCTGCCTTAACCTACATGCTACCTACTTGCCCTATAGTAAGTTTTTTTTAAAGAATTACTTTTATTTAACTTTACTTATTTATTTATTTATTTAGTTTAATTTGACGTGAGAGAGAGGGGGAGGAGTGAGAAAGCAAGTTGACAGGTCTGAGACTTGAACCGCGGTTGGCCATGTGGGAGTCTAATGCCCTTAACCACGCCACCTGCTAGCCCCTATAGTAAATTTTTTTAAAGAGAAAAAAATTTTACTAAACTCAAAAGATTTAACAAGCATTTAGCAGTCCTCAAACAGATATTTATTGAAATAAGTTAAGTCTAATGTGTCATTCGCTAAATAATAATTTAATGCTGCAGTAGACAAAAACTTAGTAAAAATATCAGTCTTCATGGAACTTTCCAAGTTAAATGTTTCTAATACAGGCATTATTTGTCAGTGAGCCATGGCTGACCTTCACATAGATTTTTCTTGGTAGAGCTGCAATTATGGTCCTGGGAAATATAATTTAACTCATTAGGTACTGGTGCAGGGATATGGTTATCTCCCATTTCCAAAGACCTAAAGTCACCTTCCCCATTGTCCAAGAGCTCTGTTGAAATAATTGTAGGAGACGATTCTATTAAAATTTTTTCATAAGTCTGACTAGTATATGAGGAAACTAGTGGTATGTTCAGATTTACCTGTAATATCAATTTAATACTTCATCCATTTAACAAGTCTGTTGATTCACGATCATCTGGAGACCCACAGTGGGTATATGTTCTGAATTCCCACTTGGAAATAATCCACTCTGGGGGGAAGACATAAGAGAAGCTAGTTTTTCCTTTTTGCCTTTAGTTTTTTTAAGAAGTTTTAGACAGACTGGCAGGTGGCATGGTGGTGGAGGCACTGGACTCCCACATGGCTGACCGCAGGTCAGGACTTAGATCTGGCAGTTTACTCTCTCATGCTCCTTCCTGCTCTCTTTCTGTCTCTTGCTGGTCAAACCGAAGAACAATAATAATAAATAAAATTAAATATTTTTAAAAATGTATGAATCTGACCTTCAACAGAATCCCGATTTGCTGAAGAAACAGCATTTTCATTTCTGTGAGAAATGTGGAAGTGAGATCTAGCTTACATGCTTTCACACTTCTTCAAAACTTCTGAGGCAGCAGTCATAGCTTGTGGCCAAGTGGCTGTGCTGTCTGATAGTGGAGGGCTTAGGCTTTCTTGGATACCCAGGTGGATTCCTGGTTTATACCTTTAGTTTTAAAGCCACCAAATTATTTGCTCCTTTAACTAAAGGCTGCAAATCAGTTGTAGAGTTTCTATTATGAGTTGAAACATAAGGTAGCTTAAAAGAAGCACCCCAGCTTAATAAACCTTGAACGCAACTGTCCACAAATGGTTTCTCCTGACTTTGTGATTTGGTAATGACTTTGTTCTTAACTGTTAGAGAACCTGATGCAGTTTCTTTTTTCTTCAAATTAGATACCAGAGATGTAACATGTTCTGGTTTTAATTTGTCACTTTTGTGGTGTAGGAATTATTTTTACTGAGTATCCTTAATTTCTACTGACTGCACTCCCTGTTTAAGACCAATAGCATGCATATTATTCACAGATGTAGTCATTGCGTCTTTTGTATTGAGCTGAAGTAATTGCATGGTTTGTATTTACAGCTTGAGATGGAAAGCTTAAATCCACAAATTGTCTTGGATAAATTTTTCTTTACATGGCACTGACACTGAAGAAGCCACTGTTGATTCTTTTGACTGCAAAGCATTTGTTTGGACTATCTATTTATTTATTTATTTGCTTGCCACAGGTTTATTTTCTAATAGGAATGCTTCCGAGTTACTTTGAAAAAATGATGCAGTATTATGGGCAGTTTAAGTATCAAGGGTAAAATACTGTCAACCAAACCTTCTGGACCTGAAAGTAAATGGTCTCCATGACCTACAGCTTTGTCCTGTGGAAGAGTGTGAGGAGCAGCTGGCACATTCGTTGGGTGAGCAGCATCACCCACAGAACACGATGCTGTAGATACTGGTATCTCAACGTGGAAAGACTGGTGAATATCAGTGTTAAGTGGAAGGCAGACAGTTTCTTCATCTGTCACTTAATGTTTTTCTTTCCCAAGTAATGGCATCCATTTCTGATACAGAAACTTCAAATGTTTCATGCCTTTCCAAACAACGTTTTTTTTTTGTTTTGTACCTTTGCTATGGGGGGCATGTTTTCACTAGAGAGATAGAGAGAAGTCAGTCCCAAGGGGGATGGCCACACCACAGTCCCTTCTCTATTCTCCTCTCAGAATTTTGGGCACATACACACACATACCCTCCATGGTTTCAAGCCACCAGGTGTGGGACTCAAGACAGTGAGTCAGCCATACAGGATCCAGCCACATTAAGCTCCACACCACCTGCTGGCCCAAAAAATACAGGTCTTTTAAGTCGTCATTTTCCAGCCAACTTCCATCAGCATTTAAAACTCAATGTTATAAAATGGGTATTTGCTTGGTAATGAATTACAGAAATTATAAAGACAGTCTTCAAAATGAAGTACATAGTGCTGCAGGTCACTTTGGTAATCCTTCAATGAAGTGCACCATCAATATGAGAGAGATTTTGGGACCAGCAGTTAGCGTAATGGCTATGTCGCTATGTAGCCAGGTTTCTAAGATCGTTCTTTTATGAGGTTTATTTGGAGTGTGACAATCTTCCAAATCAAGAAAATTATATTACGTGATTTTGAGCCCAAAGAGGATAGATGAACTACAGAACTTCACACAAAAAGACTCCTGAAAACTAATTTAGTAAGTCTTTAAGGCTTTTTCCCCCCTTTGGCTACAGGGCACATATGCTTGGTAGAGAGGAAAAAAAAAACACTCCCTAGGCGTGATGGCCACACCACAATCCCTTTTCCTCCATTCTCTCCTCAGGATCTTGGGCACTGCACACAAACACACCTAGCATGATTTTCAAGCCACCAGGTCCAGGACTAGACCCACAAAGTCAGCCATGTGGGATCTAGCGCCTTAACTTCCCTCCAGGCTGCCTACTGTCCACCCTTCTCCCTTTTTAATAAGATGTATATCTTATTTTCTAACCATGAAAACATGATAATGATATATATATATATATTTTTTT